ATCAAGAGAGAGAGACATCAAGAGAGAGAGAAGCATATGACACAGGGGACAACTTGTAAATTTGCTTAATAAAAGTCACAGGTTTACCTAAAGCTAAAAAACACACACACACACACACACACACACACACACACACACACACACACACACACACAGGGTGGAGAGAAATACACAGAGAAATGCTTGTTTCTGTCACTTCCCACCTTAAGCGTCGTGGCACTGCTGAGTGAATGTAAGGTCAGGTTATTTCTCTTTCTGTGCATTTTATAGCAGCCAGCATTTACCTGAGCAGCAGTCCAGCAGCAGCGAGATGAGGCCGCGTCAAACTGACATGAAATTAGATAAGCTGTCAAAACATTGAGGCACATCAGGAGGAGACTGACCAGGTTAGTTCACTTTCTTCGATTGTCATTTTAATTTATTAGATGTAGATGGATTTCTTTGTTTCTATGTTGATACTACTATCTGTTGATGATCTAGGATCCCCAAAAGATACATCTTGCTTAAATTCATGGTGCCCAGAGGATGACTCATAAAAGCTTTTGAAACCTCATCATCCTGTCATTTCTTTAGTTGAGGAAAACTATGTTTATAATGAATGACAGTCCTCTGCCGCTCTTTGTCATTTGCTAGTGAGCAAATGTTAGCCTGTTAACTAGCGAAAATTACTAAGTGAACATGGTAAACATAACAAAAGCATGTTGACGTTAGCATTTAGCCCAAAGCATCGAGCAGCCCTGTAAGGCTGCACTAAAATATCAGATTGACTTGTGTTTCCTTTTGAAATACTGGATAGTCTGCATCCAAGCCTTAACAATCCTGAAAATAATCTTTTTAAGGTAAAAGGTTGGAAACCTCAGCCTCAAAATGCACTTTCTGTTTATCATTTAGGGAGTTTCAGTGCTGCGGTGATGGTCTCGTGAAGATGCTGCCTAATGAAGTGAAAGAAATGGACGACAGAAGAAAACAGCAGGAAAACTTCTTTGAAAGCCATATTTACTAATCTATGGTTTAGGAATTATGGGTTGCTCTTTTTGGTGTGGGAGCATCTCCACATGACAAAGGAACCGTCATGATTTTATAAGCCTCCAGTGGTTAAGGCTTGTTCAAAGACTACCCACCATGTTTAAACGGTGGCTTTTGGCCCTGGTGGCCCGGGTCGGCCTCATTGTGCTGGGCCTCTGCTGCTGTCTGTTCCTGTTCTACCTCCTCGCCTGTAAACCCGCGTCACACAGCAGCCAGCAATCTCTGTCTTGGTCTGCGGGGGCCACCAGTAAGGAGGGATACATGGCTTTGTTGCAGGAAAGAGAGGAGTCTCACAGACATTACATGAACAGCCTGAGCAAGCAGATAGCCCAGCTGAAGGAAGCTCTGCAGGAAAGGACGCAGCAGCTTCAGGAGACCCTGGAAAAGGCTAAAACAAGAGGGATTCTGCCTCAGGGTCTGGAGAGTTTGCACAAAACTCCGACACAGACCGACATGAAGGTAGGAATAATGGAGTAATGTTGTCTGATGAGATACATGGATGTTATATGGAGCAGTAAATCTTACGTCATGTCCTTCAGGAGTTCTTCCGCTCCCAGCTGAACCAGGCCGAGGTGAACTCAGGTGTGAAGCTGCCCAGCGAGTATGCAGTGATTCCTTTCGACACTTTCACTCTGAGGAGGTGAGTGGAGCACTCGTTCCTTGGTGAGGACTAAAGTAGAGCTGCCAAGGCCTCCAAGAGTCTACTGTCAGATCTTACCTCACCTTAATTTGTGTTGTTGTGTCACTCAGGGTGTACCAGCTGGAGACGGGGTTGACAAGACACCCAGAAGAGAGGCCTGTGAGGAAAGATCACAGGGACGAGCTGATAAGCACGCTGGAGACAGCTCTGCACGTCCTGAATGGGCCGCAGCAACGCACAGACAACACAAGGCGGAAGCGCACATACTCCCCTGCAGACTTCATTGAGGGTGAGAAAGATCATTCATGACTCTTCACACAAAAAGTTTCCATCAATAGCTTAGAGATGTAAGATTTTAAGGAATACCTTAACCCAGTGGTTCTCAAACTTTTTCTGTCAGGCCCCCCCTTTGGAGAAAAAAAAAAGTCGGGCCCCCCCAACACAAATAGTCAGGCTCAGTGGCGGCGCCAGAGATTCTATTTTGGGGGTGCTGTGGGGTAGCTTGACGTTTCATAGAGGGTGCTCAAACATTTAGGGTTTCCCATTAATGTACTGGTCGCTACAGTGGAATGTTCTACTGCAACAATCCCCACACACACACACACAGTGTACCCGCGACTGTTACAATGAAGGCTCGATAATCAGCTCACGGCATATAGGTGTAAGCAGGGGTAAAGTGTTATTTTTATAGGTGGTGTGTGGACCTCACATAGGGGGGTCAGGGGGCAAGCTCCCCTGGGAAGATTTTTAAATATTGAAGTTAAAAGCATCAATCTGGTGCACTTTGAGAGCAACATGAAGAGATCTATGGATACATCTCTCAACACCCATTTGAAACAGAACTGTAAACAGATTTACTTTTTCTTTATGGAACAGTTATGTTTAAAGCACTGGCTAAATCTTCTCCACGAAGGAGGTCATTTCTACATATCTGGACTAGTAAGACGAAACACGTACAAAAAACCATCACAGGTGTTCTGACGTGGTGCGTAATTCTATTAAGACAGTTGAGAATTCATGAATGACTGACAGACGTTGACAGTTGTTGGAATATTTACTTAATGTTAACTCTCTCCCTCTATTACTGAACAAATCCCTTAACTTGGTGTGGTAAAATACTACCATAAGATTGAACCCGTTAACTTGGTACTGAACGGTCCGGAATATTACCTACTGTTACAAGGGTCGAGACATAGAAATGTTTGTGATCAAACATTGCCGTCGGGCGGTTGTTCACAAGGAGAAACAAATTCTACGGGTTAACTGTATACGTGTGTCTCATACCTAAGCTAACTTTTTTTCCTTTAGCAAAGCACCCGACTTATAACAACGCAAGTTAGGTGCTTTGTTACTTCGCAAACTACTAAATTGACATTTCGTAATGGACCACCAGACTAGGTCCTGACGGAAGTGACTAGATAACTAGAGCTGGCATCTGGTGTCAGTCGTAACTTGGGACGACGAGGAGACCTACGTGTGAAGAGACTTGTTTTTGTGTTTGTGTTTTGTATGTTAATTGTATACACAATCCGGGTGAAGTATTTGAAGATTTGTGAATTTCGATATTTTCGTTATTTAAGTTAAACTAGACTTCACCTCTCCTTCAGAAAGTGAAATCCGTGACGGTTGTTTACGTGAGAAAAAATTCGCCCACTCTAGTTATTACAGGCTACATTCGTGTCAAAATCACACTCACCTACGGTACGCGCAAGAATTAAATGAAAAAATGGACTTCCAACAACTACTTAACCCGGATTTTTCGGAGACCGGAGAACCTGTCTCCATGTGTACTACAACTCTGCACCGACGCGCACAAGTGCGAGAGCGAGAAGTGGAAGTCATGCCCTGTTTGCCGGCTTCCTGCTGGACACTCAGGGCACGGCAGGGAAATTCTCGCTCCCCCCAGTATTTGTCGCACGAGACAAGGCGAGTCATGCAGTGGACCACTGTCTGTCCGTCGTGAAATAAATAAGTAATAACCGAAGTTAGAGTTGTGTGATTTGATGAGGGGTGAACGATATCCAGGGAACAAAGGCACTTAGTATCACAAATCATAAATTATGTTATCTGACTTCAGCAAGTATCCTTTTTTGAAAAGTTCTGGATTACAATCCCTTAATACCCTTTGTTCGTATGGTTATAAAATTTATAATAATTTCCTCAGTTTCCAAAGAAAATATATAGTTAATGAGTGTCAGGAAACTGGAAATAAACACCTCTTTTGACGTAATCTTTGGGATGGTCAAATTTTTACCCGGTACACTGTGCGGACTATTTACACTCGGGTTGATGACTCTCAACCAATTTTTTGGAACCTACCGTACGTTCAAAAACGGATCTGGTTTAAGTTTGTTTGGAGATACAATAAAAGTAAACTGTATTTGTTTAGGTAGTAAAACCCCAATTCGTTCACCCAAGAGTTCACCCCGCCGCGGGGGGGTCACCCGCGTCTCCGTACTGTCCCCCCCGCGCTCTCTGGTCCTCCTTTTTACCAAATATTTTTTTTTTTTTGTAATTTTTTTTTTTTTTTACAAAAACTTTTTTTTTTTTTTAATAACTAAGCTTTATTATAATATGCATGATAATGCAAGACCCAGAGACACAAAGTAATTTCAAACCGAGACACACACACACACCTTGCATCGGTAAAACACACCGCACGCGCATCACTCTCGCGTGGCCATGGCCTCTACCAACAACAATCGAAGACCACGATCGCTCGATGCGATTGCCTAATATTCCTCAAAAAAGTTGTGTTTCACCTCCCTCTCAGGAGAGGACAGTCTACTCTCTGAGTCACTCGATTCCTGAGAGTCACAATAGAGTCACACCCAGAGTTTGCCAAACCAGTGGTAATTACATTTGTTAATAAAGGGCTCCGGGGTGAAATAATACCTAGGCATATCATAAATATTTTTATTCTCTTATAATTTTTGTCCATACCTTTATAGATATACTGGTAATTTTTTCTTATTGCAATTTTTCCCTCACTAACCAT